TAACCACCTCACTACTGACCATTGTAAAATGGTCGGCGGGGGTTCTCCAGCTTCTGAGCACTAAAACAGCTTTTTTTTGTTCAGTAAATTTTGCAACTATGTCAGTTTTTAAAGGGTAAAATAATAATAATAATGTTCCATAACTTCAAATGCATATTTAGGGCATCTTCGAGCATGTTTTTTATAAGATTTGTGTATTTGTATTGTTTCCCTTTAAGCCATATTAAAAGACCCTCTCCTCAACAGTAACTTTTTTTAATGTTTTTGCACAGTTCATGTTCTCCATGGCAGTGCCCAGCAACCCAATTCTTTTTTTAACAAAAGCTTGCAAGTTAACCTTCAAAATGGCCAGGAAAAAAATACAAGACTCGCCTTCTATAGACTTCATTGGAGTTCAGCATAATGTTCAGGGTTCATGGACTTCCCATCTGGTACACCAAAGTCCAGCGAGCTGAACTTTGCCCAGTGCACTGATGCTTACTGAAGAGTTCACCAAGCACTCTCTTTAAGACCATGCCTCTTTAGGCTTTGTATCCTCTGAGAGGTAGATGGAGGCAAAAAGAAACGTGAGAAGTTCAGGTCATTCACAAATTTATTGATAAAAATGGGCTAGTTGCCCTTACACCCTTTATTAATACAAATCAAACTAAAACCATTCAAATTACCAATTAAAAACAATCACAGAAATGTACTTGAGCAGGACAATTACTTTGACAGATAGGATGCTGGCCAGATCCAAGGCTGAGAGCTGCTCTCCAAGACTTAGACTGGGAGGGAATATTGGCATCAATGAACACAACACAGAAATTGGAATTCTTCAAAAAGACTGTATGTGAAAACACTGCAAAATATATTCCCATGGGCAACAAGTTTAAAAGGCTAAAAATCAAACATATGTGGCTTACAGCCAAAGTTAAAAAAAAAGCTATAAATAATAAGAAAAGAGCTTTCATTAAATATAAAAATGAAGGAATGCTATCATCGTTTAAACATCATAAAGAATATAACAGAATACGTTAAAAGGAACTAAAGGCCACAAAAATTGAAAACGAAAACAGATTGCAAAAGATAGCAGGACAAACCTCAAAAAATTCTTCAACTATATTAATAGTAAAAAGGTCCGGTCCGAGGATGTAGGCCCTTTACAAAATAATCTAGAATGGGTGACTGGGGACAAAGAGAAGGCAAATTTATTAAATACCTACCTGTGTATACAAAGGAGCATGGGGAAGCTCTTGTCCATAATGGGCATGGTATTGTCACAGCGCCAGATGCTTCATATTGACTCACAACTGACATAGTCTGGAAATATTTAGACAGAATAAAGGTGAATAAAGCACCTGGACCGGATGGCATACACCCACAGGTGTATGCCATCCGTGGCATTTCAAAACCATTGTTTCTAATTTTTAGGGACCCTTTAATGACTAGCATAGTAACACTGGATTGGCGTAAGCCAATGTGGTGCCAATATTTAAAAAGGGATCAAAAATTTTTATCAAGTAATTATATACCTGTTAGTTTAACATCTATAGAAAATACTGGAGCGTTTACTAAAAGACCACAGAGATGAGTTCTTACTGGAAAAAAATATTTTAAGCAAAAGAGAGCATGGATTCATGAAAGACAAACAAACAAATCTGATTCCTTTTTATGTGGAGGTGAGAAAAACCTTGGACAGAGGGGTGGCGGTGGATGTGGTATACTTGGACAGAGGGCTGGCAGTGGACGTGGTATACTTGGGTTTTGCAAAAGCATTTGACACAGTTCCCCACACATGGCTAATGTGTAAGGTAAAGTCTACGGGCTTGGAAAAATCTGTATGTAAATGGATAGAAAACTGGCTAAAAGATGGTATTCAGAGAGTAGTGGTTAATGATTCATACTCTGAATGGTCTAGGGTTGTCAGTGGTGTACCCCAAGGTTCAGTGTTGGAACCTTATTTTTAATATATTTATAAATGATATAGGGTCTGGGATTAAAAATATAATTTCAGTCTTTGCAGATGATACCAAGCTCTGTAGTGGAATAACGTCCTTACAGGACATATTCAACTTACAAGCCGACCTCAATGCACTGTTTAATTGGGCAACTATGTGGCAAATGAGGTTTAATGTTGATAAATGTAAGGTTATACACTTGGGGGCTAAGAATATGCATGCATCATACATACTGGGGGGGGTACAACTGGGGGAATCAATGGTGGAGAAGGATCTGGGGGTTCTGGTAGATCACAGGCTTAATAATGACATGCAATGCCAAGCTGCGGTTTTTAAAGCGAGCAAAATCCTCTCTCTTGTATTAAAAGAGGTATAGACTCCAGAGAGAGATATAATTTCCCCCGGTACAAATCATTAGTAGGACCTCATCTGAAATATGCAGTTCAGATTTGGGCACCAATTCACAAAAGAACATTGGGGAACTGGAGAAAGTACAGAGAAGGGCAACCAAGCTGATAAGAGGCATGGAGGAGCTCAGCTATGAGGAAAGATTAGAGGAACTGAATTTATTCTCTATTGAGAAGAGGAGATTAAGGGGGGATATGATCTCTATATATAATACATAAGGGGGGATATGATCTCCATGTATAATACATAAGGGGGGATATGATCACCATGTATAATACATAAGGGGGGATATGAGCTCCATGTATAATACATAAGGGGGGATATGATCTCCATGTATAATACATAAGGGGGGAGATGATCTCCATGTATAATACATAAGGGGGGATATGAGCTCCATGTATAATACATAAGGGGGGATATGATCTCCATGTATAATACATAAGGGGGGATATGATCAACATGTATAAATACATCAGTGGTTTATATAGTGAACTCGGTGTAGAGTTATTCACCCTGAGGTCATCACAGAGGACAAGGGGGCACTCTTTAAGTCTGGAGGAAAAGAGATTTTATCTCCAAATATGGAAAGGTTTCTTCACAATAAGAGCTGTGAAAATGTGGAATAGACTCCCTCAAGAGTTGGTTCTGGCCAGCTCAGTGGATTGCTTTAAAAAAGGCCTGGATTCTTTCTTGGATACACAGAATATAACTGGATACTAACATGTATAGGTAAAGTTGATCCAGGGAATATCCGACTGCCTCTCGGGGAATCAGGAAGAAATCGTTTCCCCTGCAGGAGCAAATTGGTTCATGCCTTGCTGTTTTTTTGTTTTTTTTTTGCCTTCCTCTGGATCAGCTGTGGGTATAGGATTATAACTTGGTTTTTTGGTTTTTTTATGGTTGAACTGAATGGACTGTTGTCTTTTTTAAGCCAGAGTAACTATGTAAATATGTAACTATGTCTTCGCTTGTATTCCATGGACATCTTTAACTCCTCTAACAGCTCAGCTAGAGGGAATGCTTCTATTACTTTCTGGGTGTAGTGCGGTACTTCAATACGCTCTAATGGATTGAGAAGTGTTCCTTCTGCCCAGAATCTGAGGTCTGAGTCTGTGTTTATTATTTTGTGTGATTGCCAATTCATGTGCCTCTTCTTGATTGGTCCCTAAGCTCACACAAGGGGGCAGAGTCTGGTACCATGGTCCTTGTCCTGTAGCTGTGGGCAGCCTGAGGCTGGGTATACTTTGCATACTGCACCTTCTCCAACTGATCAAGTAGGTTATAGTTTCTTTGCAACACGTAGAGTCAACGTTCTTTATACTCTCTATTCTTATATTTATTTACTGCTGGGGATGTTGCTACTTTTAGCATAGGGGTTCATCATATATGATTATGTGATACTTGTAGTTATTGATATTTCCATACATTTAGATATACAGTGTTGCAGATGCTTTTTCTCCAAACCATTTCTGTGATTGTTTTTAATTGACAATTTGAATAGTTTTAATTTGATTTACATTTAAAAAACAATGTAAGGGCAAAAATAATATTTTTATTAACAAAATATTTGCTTGTCATGTGTGTATTTTATGAGCACCTCTACAGTCCTTTTTATTTGAATGTAATATTTCTTATATAATATTTCTGGGTGTGGAGCTTCTGTTATTGTCCTTGAATAACATTCTTCAACATTCTTAGCACAAATTTATTAAGATTTTGCATGCAGCACATGTGATTAGCTCCAAGTTCTGCACCTCCCACTCCTAGCCTGAGTGCTGTACTGTAATTGTATTGAGTATTACAGGATGGCAAAACCATGTCAAATTAAACTAGTTAAAGCTACAATACAGTAATTTTACCAAAAATTAAATCTGGGTGCCCACCCCCCCTACACATTAAGAGTCTAACATTCACTTAGTCTAAGGCACATATAATAGATAGAATTACTTACCTTAGTCCTCAGTCCCTCAGACTTCCTTCCAGTTGGTTCCAGTAGCGACAACTGCTCTGCCAGCATCAGGAACTTAATCCACAACCTCTGCTGTGTCCAGCAGTGGCTCTTCTTGTTGAGCCATGTGATATGCTGGACAGCTTCTTTTTTGATCCTTTGGACTTTTTTGCCTTCAATCTTGTTTCTGGTGAATCTTGAACTCTGCTTCCAATGTCCTTCCTGATTTAAGCCATGTCTCTGCACTCCCTGTTTGCCAGATTATTGTGCTCTGTCCAGCCGATCTCTTGCTGTACAAAAAAGTGGTAACCACCCCAACTTATGACTCTGGAGCAAGGCGCACATGGGAGCGCAATGAACAGAGGATTTCCCAGTAGAGTTACCAGCCAGCCTGCAAAATGACCGAATTGGCCCTGTCTAACCATTTACGTTAAAGCAGAGTGTTTCGTCTGCACATATTTGCAAATATATGAGTAAGCCACAGTGCCCACACCAAGAGACCTCTGTATATACAGTGGTCCAAACTCTAAATTTCCAGAGCCATATATAAGCATGGATAGAGTAAGGGCAGATACTGTATGCCTGGAGGGAGCCCACCCCTCCTTAGCTGCCTCCCACCCTAAATATAAGGAAATGACTGGAGGATGGTGGTTCTCTCATTCTGGGAGGATGTCATATGACGTCTTCGCACTCTAACTGCACACGTGAACCCCCGGGGGTACCCGGCGCAGCAATCGTTGGTGCGCTGTGTCACTAAGACATAGCGGATCACCAATCTCAGTAAGGAGCCGATGACACAGGCTCTATCATGTGATCAGATGTGTCCAATCACAGCTGATCACATGTAAACAAGGAAATGCCGGTTATTGGCAGTCCTCTCCTCACACTGACAGCGTGTGAGGTGAGGAGAGCTGGTAAGCAGCATTCCTCAGAGGGGACATCTACACTGATCATCAGGGCACTGATGATCAGTGCCTTGATGATCAGTGTAGCCCCATCAGTGCCACCTGTCAGTGTCCATCAGTGCTACCTGTCAGTGCCCATCAGAGCCACATCAATGCCACATATCAGTGTCCATCAGAGCTGCCTTTCAGTGGCAACTATCAGTGCCACCAGTCAGTGCCACCTATCAGTGCCAGTCATTGCTGCCCATCAGTGCTGATCAGTGCCGCCTATCAGTGCCCATCAGTGCTGCCTAACAGGTCCAATCAGTGCCACCTAACAGTTCAAATCAGTGCCGCCAATCAGTGCCAGTCAGTGCCCATCAGCGCAGCCTATCAGTGCCCATCAGTGCTGCCTAGCAGGTCCAATCAGTGCTGCCTATCAGTTCAAATCAGTGCCACCTACCAGTGCCACCTATCAGTGCCATGTATGAGTGCTGCCTTTCAGTGCCCATCAGTGATCCCTGTCAATGCCCACCAGTGATGCCTGTCAATGCCCATCAGTGCTACCTACCAGTGCCTCCTCATCAGTGCCGCCTATCAGTGCCCATCAGTGCAGCCTCATTAGCGCACATCAATGAAGGAGAAAAATTGCTTATTTACAAAATTGTAGTAAACTAAAACTAAGAAAAGAACTTTTCAAAATGTTCACTCTTTTTTAGTTTAACAAAAAATAAAAAACTCAGTGGTCATTAAATACCACCAAAAGAAAGCTCTATCTGTCTCAAAAAAATGATAAAAATGTTGTTTGGGTCAAGTGTTGCATGACTGCGCAATTGTCATTCAAAGTGCGATAGTGCTGAAAGCTGAAAATTGGCCTGGGCAGGAAGGGGGGGAAAAAATGCCCGGTAGGCAATTGGTTAAAGGCACAGGGATGCAGGTGACACCCAGCACAATGGCAGCGAAGGTATCAGGTGCCTCCTTGTATATACAGAGGTCGCTTGGCGTTGGCGTGGGCAGCATATATTTGCAAATGTGTGCAAACAAAACCCTCTGTTTTTAATGTAAATGGTTAGACAAGGCCAATTTGGTTGTTTTGCAGGCTGGTTGGTAAGTGTGCTGAGAAATCCTTTGTTTGTGGTACCTTGCTTCTTAGCATACCTATAGCTGTCCCTATCTCCACTACCACTTGGCTTATTCCTCTGCTAAGGTTCTGCTTGATCTCTACCTGCTATATCTGCTACTGGACCCCAGCTTACTCATCTCCTGGTGAGGAGATCCTGAGGACCACAACCTGGTACTAACACACAACAAAACCCATCTCCACCATCAAGAGCTCTGGTGAATACTGGTTAGGGCTTAGACCCCATACCTGGTGAGCTTGTGTCATCCACCAGGGTGACCTGCTTGTTTACTTATCCTGCTGGTCAGTGGGAGCAGGACATGATCCAACGAAGCTGCTTCCTCTATGGTCATGTGGCCATATCCTTACTGATGTCATCACATACAAATCAGAACTAGAGGCCACCACTGGTTCTACATTGTATGATAATATGAGGAGCCCATCCACATTCTGATGCAGGAGCAAGGAGTGCACCAGCTGCTGTGGAATGAGGAGTAAGTTAAATATTCCTCTGTATTTTATCCCCTTCCATTACACTAGCAATAGATCCTTAATTTATTGTAGATGTACCCAGGTATAATTTTGCCAATTTATAAAATACAATAAATGATTTATTAATGAGTACACAGCTGCATTCATTTTTGTATTTTACATTTACCTGGAGTTCAGCTTTAAACATTTGCCTGGAGCTCTGCTTTCATTTTGATTGTTCTAACTATGCGGGTCTCAGATTTTACATCTGGATTTTTAAACAATCCAGTAACTTATGCCATTTTTCTTTGTTTGATATTAGTGTTTTTCTATACTAAACCCTTTTCCTGCCACAAATTTTACCTTTTGATAACCCAGGCCTATCCTTTATCCCTGATATGTCTCTGTGTGCTCTCAACACATTAAAGGCTTTAGAAGCAAAAAGGTTAAATCAATAGAAGTACTTTGTTCTAATTAGTCATGGAAAATCTGGAATTAGAAGCAGTTTGGATATGCATAACAAAATTCATACATGTTGATGGAGATTAACGTGAAAATTGCCAACAAATGGCCAAGAATTCTGTCTAACAACCCTTTTCCGTGCATGAAACTCATCCAAGCTCTCTAGAGTAACTATAATGGTTGAAGCCTTTCAGACAGCTGTGACTGATTTATCGACTATAAAGGGGATGTATCCTTAGAGTACAAGAAAACTAAGTGAATGAGATTTGTAATGCACTTGGTAAATCTAAAGCCTAATCGTGTGTAAAATTCACAGGTTACTGGAAATATAGATTCCATATGCTAATTCCTACATCAGAACATTTGGCAAGTAAGTGCAAAGTAAGCCTGAAGTAGATTAATAGAAATATGTCACTTTGGTACAAAATCACTGCATATTTCTTAAAAACCAATTGTGACTTTCCAAAAATGAGAGCAATCAAGTCAGTCAGGGTGAATCAAAGAGTAAATGGTAAAAGTCTCATTGTTCTTTATTCCTTTTAAGTGGATCTGAATTCAAAACAGGGGATTTGCTTTTTTATAGGAAACATCTAGAATTGTTAGTTGCGCTTAAAGTGTTACTAAACCCAGAACGCTGCATTCACTCTATCTGGTCTCCCCGGACCCTGCATTTACTATATCTGGTCTCCCCGGACTCTGCATTCACTATATCCGGTCTCCCTGGACCCCCCATTCACTATATCCGGTCTCCCGGACCCCCCATTCACTATATCCGGTCTCCCCGGGCCCCGCATTTACTATATCCAGTCTCCCCGGACCCCGCATTCACTATATCCGGTCTCTCCGGACCCCCCATTCACTATATCTGGTCTCCCGGACCCCCCATTCACTATATCCGGTCTCCCTGGACCCCGCATTCACTATATCCGGTCTCCCCGGACCCCGCATTCACCATATCCGGTCTCCCCGGACCCCCCATTCACTATATCCGGTCTCCCCGGACCTCCCATTCACTATATCCGGTCTCCCCGGACCCCGCATTCACTATATCTGGTCTCCCCGGACCCTGCGTTCACTTCATCTGATCCCCCACAGTACACACAACATGGAAGTGCAATTATTTTAGTAAATATAAACTGCTAAGTACCTTTTCTCATCAGCAGTTAAAGCAGTCTTGTGACTTCTATCAGTGTCCAGCAGAGAACATGTTAAAGCTTGTAGGAGGAGTTTTCATTTTGCTCTAGGAGGATGCATAACCCCGGACCTCTCTCTGGACAGTGCTGATTGGCCCTGTGCTGATCACATGCACTCTCCCAAGAAAAAGAAAAAACTCTCAAGCAATACTCTCCAAACTGAGCATGTGCAGAGTAACTCCACGCAATATTATTATTATTATACAGTATTTATATAGCGCTGAAAGGTTTGCTCAGCGCTGTACATTATAGTGGGGGACAGTACATGAGACAATACAGTAACAAAGCAAAACACGAGGGGTTCAAGGGCCCTGCTCTTTCCAGCTTACAATCTAGGAGAAGTGTCTTATATGTCTTATCAGGAGATAAGAGGGGGACACTGGCACAAGGGGAGGATCACAGAAGACAGGATCAAACAGGGTTTGTACACAATGCAGAGGATTAACCCCTTAGGTTCCACAGTGAGTATAACAAGCATGCTTTACTGTATATACAGACTGATTTTACTGTTGTGGGTTTAGTAACACTTTAAGTTTTAAATTCCATTGTCACTAAGGAGATGCCTGCACTTAAACTTGTGCATCAGAGCGGATATCTGTATGCAGGCACAAGCTGGCACCTATTTGCACATACGCATCTCTGCACACATACGCATGGCTATCCATGCGTATGTGTGCAGAGATGCGTGTGTGCTCGCCTGTCACTAATGCTGGCATCAAAGGACTATTTAGTGCAGGACTACACTGTGTCTGAGCACCACAAACCAAAAAATATAATTTATTTCATTTTTAATATTCAAAGCAAACTTACCCATTCATCTATATCTCCATACATTATTTTGTTGAGAAATTACTTTGAAAAACACCCCGTAGCATTTCTGTCTGTGGCCATCTTCAGTAAGGGCAGATGATTCATGTAGCATTTACTTCCTGGAATCCATCTGTCCTTAACCACTTCCTGTCTGGACACTTTTACCCCCTTCCTGTCCAGGCCAATTTTCAGCTTTCAGCGCTATCACACTTTGAATGACAATTGCGCAGTCATGCAACACTGTACCCATACGGATTTTTTAGCATTTTTTAAGACAGGCAAAACTTTATTTTGGTGGGATTTAGTCACCACTGGATTTTTATTTTTTGTGCTATATAAATGAAAATGTCCAAAAATTTTGAAAAAAGTGTTTGTCTTATAACATTTTGCAAATAAATAATCTTTCTTCATAAATCTTGGCCAAAAATATATTCAGTTATCTTTTTAGTAAAAAAAAAATAACCCAAATTAGTTTATAACCAAAAATTATAATTTTTCAAACTTTTTTTTACATTTCTATTTTTTTTTTTATATCATTATTTATGTTTTTGTTTTTTTTTAACATACCGTCACCCTAGTAGTACAGTGTCACCATGGGGGGGGGGGGGTGATGAATATTTTTTTTTTTTCTACACTGATTGCTTTTACACCCATAAAGGCTGTAAAAGCGATCATTTCTCTTTCTCTCTGGCTGCATTCTTGCAGCCATTGAAAAATACTGTGTGAGCTGTGATTGGTCACAGCTTGTCACATGGTACAAATCTGTTGTGAATAACCTTGTACCATGTGACCTCTGTGATTATTCACAGATTTCACACGTAGTAAGCAATGATGTCAGAAGTGACATCTTGCTTACAACTATTCATGTGATCACTGATTGGCCAATCAGTGATCACATGATCGGAACCTCACACAGAGGTCCCGTGCGACGATCGGTGTTCCACTGTGTCCTCTGCGGGTGCCGTTTATGAACGGCAACCTGCTCCTGCACTGCAGGTTAGGTGTTTAACTCATGCATGCAGACAGGAAGGTGTACTTAGCTGAGAAAACCCCTCCTTCCCTCCTGAAGACTCCTGGGATGTATGTCATCATTGGCATAATGGCAATGGAAACTAGGAAGCAACTGAAGAAATGTAAGAGAAAAAAAAAGTTTACAACAAGTAAATATGATATACAATACTTTCCTATGAATTTACTAATGATAGCAGCATTGGGGTTAAAAATAGTCAATGTTGATTGAGAGTCTGAAGCTGCTGTACTGCTGCTGTCTGGTCTACAGCTTTCCTTTATAACCTGCTTTCTGCTTTTGTGTCTAGCTAACGGCTACTGACCCGTCCTGCCTTGACTAATCCAGAACTCAGCCTGTACTGACCCCATATTGCCCTGAAATATGCCTCTGCCTACTCCTTTCTTCTGATTGCCTTGTAAACTCCAGGCTGAACCCTGACTACGCTCTTGCCTCCATGCTTATACCTGATCTGACTGCCAGTTAATGACCTGGTTTGCCCGACTCTGATGATCACCAACTTGCTGCCCAGCCTGTGTCTGCCAATCATCTGTACAAACAAATGGCAACTGCTCCAATCTATAACTGGCCTTTGCATCAAGGGGCATATGTAACGGCAACGCATGTCAAACAACAACAATGAAAAATTCCCATCTCAACTTACCAAACCAGCCTACAACCAGCCAAATTGTACTGTCTAGCAGTTCACGTTAAAAACAGGGGTTTCGTTTGCACACATTTGCAAATACATGCATACACTGCAGAGCCTCAGGCACAGGGGTGCACTGGACACCCAGCATTAGGCACAATGGCAGCCAAGGTGTGCAGTGCGTTCATCACCTATCCATTATTATACATGTGCTTCTAGTATGGAGGATCTCAACATTTATAGAGTTAGAACTGCAGAATATTGGGGGTGCCATGAAGAGGCTCTGCAGCTTACACATGTATTTGCAAATGTGTGCAAACTAAACACGTTTTTTGACGTGAACTGTTAGACAGGACAATTTGGTTGGTTGCAGGCTGGTTGGTAAGCTGAGCTGGGAATTTTTCTTCGTTGTTGTCTGCCAGTCAAATACCTGCTGCTAGCCAGTGCCTACTGATCACCCACCTGCTGCCAGCCAGTGCCTGCTACCCATCTATCTATTGCCCAGTCATTTCTGGCTGCTACTCAACCATTTCCTGTCAAGCACCTGTCTGTTATCAGCCAGTCTCTACTGCTCTCCTATCTGCTGCCTGGCCCGATTCTGTGGACACAGACTGCCTACCTGCATCAGCTGCTGGAAGAACTAACAGGCACTCATGCCACTCCATGCCTTTGTGCCTTCTGTTACTTTATCAGGGGCCCTGAGGTGGAGATGTAAGAGAGGCCTACCTCAACATGTCAGGCTCCTCCAACAGGTAAGTGACATCCTCTTGAAAAATGCTGCACTTCCTATGCCTAAGCACAGTACATTGAGCCTCAAGATAATAAAAGGCACTGTAATTCTGACTGTTAGTCTCACAAGATTTAGAGCGAGATTTGGTGAAGTCACTATTAGCTGCTGCTTATTGTTATCCTTCCTGGAGAGGAATCTGTACCTGAGGATATGCAATGCATGGATCTTCCTGCTTCTGGGTTATCCATTCTGTGGATATGTGCTTGCTCCCTCTCTCTAGTTGCTTCTGGAATCTGTGTAATCTGGAAACTGATCCAGAGAGGAGATAGCCAGCAGATGGTGGTATGTCAGGTGAAGCATGGGCGGTGAAGCCTGGCAGAGTGCCCAAGATGTCCGTGTCCGGGTTTGGTCACGTTCGGCATATGATGTCAACGGTGTGTAACACGTTTCTGAGCATGCACGGGACCAGCGTCAGCCGGCTCGCTCTTTCATCAGGCAGGGAAGAGCAAAGGAGTGGGAGAGCCTTATGTAGAGCAACAGAGGATGATGGACAGGGCCAGGGAAACACAGGAAGGATCTGCCACAGAGCAGTAAGAAGCCATCTGTGACCAGGAGATACTAGTCTAACAATGGCAGAAGGCATTGTATACATGAGATGATAGATTAAAAGACATAGAATTAACATTAAAAACATAATATCGCAATATACAGAAAATAAACGTTGTGACAACGGCAATATGGGACAATTAGGAATACTGTTAAAAACATAGGATTAGGGGAAAAGGGGTAAAGGGGAATAAATGATAGGTTGCATGATCTATGGTGGCCATCATGCAACCTGTTATTTATTCATTTTTTGCTCTCTGATACTCTCTAATTGTCATCTCAATGCAGGCACCTATATCATATTATTATCCCAACGCAGGGCTATCCCCAACCAATATAACTAATTAATTCTTTTATATACAATTTGTTATATATTAATTTTATAATATTTCTTTATCATTTCCTTTATGATTATATATACTCCATAAGAGACTTTTTTATCCACGTGTTTGCCCGCATGCAATTTTATACATGCATATATGTCCATTCTTCCCCATTAAAATTATTATTCTCCAATTGTTTCAATACTGGTGTGCATCTGTATGCTTCTGGTTAATGTTATATGCTGGTTGCAGTAGTTCCTCTGCTCCCAAATACATTGATTAGATTACCCAGGAAGGGAATCCCCTCTGTTCACAGAAGCCCTGTCCTGGGTGGAGGCACTACCAACCTCTATTATCAAACTCACTCCTCCACTTAGAGAAGGCTCTGGTTCTCCCTTTTGCCTACAGGTTTAGGGCAATATCCTGTTTGGGGAGCGCCATTTCTCATCCCCCCTCCTTCACAAAGTGGGCTATATTTGTAACTGTATCAGCACAGGGTCGTTAGATAGTTATGTCCACATTTTCACAAATTATTTAATTCACTAAATCTCAGAAGGCCAAGATGTTATCCAGTAACATGTAAGATGTCAATGTACTGCTAATATGTCAAAGGTAGGAAGGAGAATCATTATCTGTGTATAAAGAAGACTTTCTTTACAACTCCAGTTCCATTGACCTTCTCCATATCAACAATTACCCAGCTAAAGCTCATCTAGAGCCAGTAATATAGTGCAGTAGACTTGATAAAGGGCTGAAAACGATCTTTGGACCAATAATGTACTGTACTGAGGGTATACTCAATTGCAGACCACAGCTCAACAAACAGAAAATGCAGTTAGCATGATTAATGTAGCTCTCATCTTGGATTTGCCCTAATGGAATCAATAACTGAGTATTTGTATTAATTTGAAGTTTTACAATGTCCTCGGTTATAAGGTTAGCTTGGTTTAATTGAGGCATTGTGTGCAGAGTAGCAACATTGTTCTTCTGGTCACCTTATGTCTCCTCTCCTAGAGATTCCAGAAAATTCTTTTAAGCTTGCAGGGGTGCAAGCTGACACTGAGATGAAGCAGAACTGCCTCAAGAGATGGGTGCGCCCAACTCCTTCAAAAATTCTGGTACATAGCTGTGACTTGACAGAAAGCAGAACCTTCATCAATGTAGACCTGGATCCAAGATGCTCAACATGGTCTGAATTACTAACTGCACATATACTTTATAATACACCCCTGGACAGTATTTAATGTTTGACATCTTCAGCTATGTCTTAGCTTGGCTTGCTGTTTAACCCTTTGAAAGTGCAGGAAGGGAACATCAGACTTAAGCCCAGTACACACGATCATAAAATTGTACGTAATATACTGCTTTTGAAGCCATTGTACAATAATCTGATCATTAGTACACA